ACGGCTGACCATTATTTTCAGCATCCTCCTTGGCTTTCCTTGGCTTCCTTTGGTTTTTTCTGTTGCCCCCCTTTTTTTGGGCGGCGTCCACGCAAATTGTGCTTACTTAATAAGTCGTACAACCTGCTAATGTGAGCAATTTACCAAAGGAACGCGCTCCAGAGTCGTGTCGGGACGGGAGCCCCCTAGAGATGGCAGAAAAAATCAATATATCGAAAATGTGTGTGATATTTATGGTAAAAGTCGATAAATTAATTGATAAATAATCGATATATATCAAATTAAATACTATTTTTATTATTTAAGAGATTTGGATCCATATTTTAATCTTAGAAACATGATTTCTCGATAGTTAAAATTTTAATATATTTGTTTCCTCTCAATATGTTAAATTGAAAAGTTTTTTATGTTACAAAAATTCCATATATATATAACTTAAAGATGTTTCCAATATGATATTGAGCGTGATATTATTATCCTCCTCTCAGTATGCATCCCTATTGCTACCGGTTCCTGGCCCGTATTTTCTGTGCGCTCATTTTCTGTGGATTTTGTGCGCATGCGCGCAGGCCCCGCCGCGATTGCAATCTGCAAATAGCCGCGTGTGTGAGTGCGCACAATAAAAAGGTGCGAGCTTAAAGAATTTATGGGCCAGCCACAGCCGATAAGCTTGGCGAATAAAATAAAATAAAATAAATAAGAGACAGAGGGAGAGGGAGAAATACGGCAAGGACAGCGCACCTAATTATTATAAATAAACCAATCGAACAATAAAGATCTGCTCTGGCGGACCAAACTTTCCACGAAACGGTGCGCGCACAGTGGCCATAAGAACTTAATCGCAAATGAGATTCCAATGGGGGCCAGGACTCGCGAGTCCCAAAACCGAAGCCCCAAAACGGAGGCTCAAGCCGGCAACGCCATCGATAACACAATCGATGATGAGGCGGCTCCCAGTTCTACTTGGGAGCTGGATCCCCAATCCCCAATCCCCATTCCCAAATCTGCAACCGAATCCAGGCTAACAAGCGGTTTGATGGCCAGTCGGCTGGATTAATCGCTGACATGGTCGGGGGGAAATTCCGGCTGGGAGGGAGGAAGGAGTAGCAGCTCCCAAAATGTCCACAACTAACACTGTGAGAAATTGGTAGTTACAAAGAGTTTGAATTAGGAAAGCAGATCAAATGAAAGTCACATTATCTACATTATAAATCAACCAAAATATAACACTTAATCAAATTTAAATATCGTAAAATATTAGTTTTAGTTTTATTAATTTATCTTTCATAGTAAATCCATTAAACTGGACAATTTCTTTAAGTGCAAGTCCTTGGAGCCGCCGATAAGGCGCTGACGTAGTTAAACATATTGTAATTGCTGCGATGCCACAAAACGGGTTTCCATCGCATGGTCCATGGTCCATGGAGTCCGTGCTCCTCCGCTCCCGATCCCGATCCCGATCCCTGTCCCTGTCCCTGTCCCGGTCATTGTTTTTGGAATGGCTTCTGTATCGGTCGCAGCATCAGATTACCACTCTATGTGCAGACAAAGGCGCAGCATCATTCAGCCAATAAATGGAAGGCGTCGTTGTCGTCCTCTGTCCTGCGATCCCCATTTCCCGCGTCCCATCCTCAGTCTCCTCAGTCTCCTTGGGCTGCTGTCGTCATGGCCTTTGATTTTTGTGGATCAGGAGTACACAGCCAAAGCCACAGCACGGTAGCCGTTCGATAATTTGCTATGGCATTCCAAGTGTATGTCTCCTTATCCGCATGTCAATCAAGCTCCTAATTATTCGCCGAATGCAAAAGATAATTGGGGCCCGTCGCTTTTTTCGTATGCTGGGATCCATTTCAATATGAAATATATATATATTTCATCCGAAACAAGACGAGATGGTAAAGGCAATTATGACAAGTTCACAGAAGCCTGAAGATGGGTTCTTACTTTCCTGGAGCAAGTGGCATCCAATTAAGGCAAAGGGATAAGCCGCAAGAGATAATCCTGCAGCTTGAGTTTGGAAAATAATATAATGCAGTTTAAGAATATTTATGTACATATATAAGTTGAGTTTATTTTGGTAATGAAATGGATGCTTTAGGAAGTAATTTTCACTGATTTGAAGGAGATTTTATTTAAAGGGTAATAGGAAATAATGATGTACTTATTATTAATGAATTAAAAAGCAAAAATTTCACTCATTATTTACCACATATACTCTTAACTGATCATCTTATAGTAATTCGTAAACTTTTATTTAAGCCAAAAAGTATCTAACAATTTTCTAATAATAATAACTAATAAAAATATGCTGATAAACAAAAAGTATCTAAATAATGTTCTAATAATAATTACAAATAAAAATATGCTGATAATCAAAATTTTATTTTCACACATTAAAATCTTGTTCAGTTCATAAAAACTCTTATCTATAATTCAAAAGTAAAGATAGCATTATCTTATCAATATCAACTGATATTTGCTTTACTAACCTAGTTTCGCAAAAAGAATTGTAAACCATTTAACATTGAGCTATGTGAATTGTGATCATTGGTAATTAACTTGTTAAAAAAAAAACATTTTACCCAATTAGAAATAATTAAATTTGGTTTGTTACAGTCAGTAATTAAAAGACATTATTAAGAGCATAATGGCAGTGATATTGGTAGAAAGGCAGCTAAGATGCATTTTTTAACTCTTTTAAATGACGATTTGTTAAATACCCTTGAAAATGCTTTAAGGTATGTTTTTGCTGTCTGACAATTAAATATATTTATATAGCTTAAATATAATAATAAAACTTAAAGGTAATTTTTGTTTTATTAGATTAAAAATACTATATAATTAAAATTAAAAACTAAAGCCTAAAAGGTATTTATTAGTCGTAACTCAGATTAAAAGATGGCTTTGATTTTACATCCCCTTTCGGCCGCGTTAACGTCTGCTAATTCATTTGGCATCGCAGCAGGTTTCCACCTGCCTATATCTATCTATATAGCCACTATCTCTGAGTGGTAATCACGTGCTGTGAAACGCATTGCGCTGGTTCTCAAGCTCGCATATTGGTCCTGGTCCTGTCTTCCTGGCCATTCGCTTATACCTTGAAAAAAAGTGTATTATTTAATAAATGAAAATACATAAAATAGAAAATTTTATCTTGATAAACTTCTGAACTGTCTCCCACTCCCTTTGCAATGCTTTGCCTGTGATGCACAAGCAATAGTTTACTAATTCTCACCGAATTAGGTGGAAACACAAAACTAAAAAGGTTTTAGTTAGTGTTTCTCTTAAGAACTATTTATAGAAAAGTTTTTAAAATATATGTAGCTTCATATTATACCAGATTTATAGCAGTGTAGCCACCAAAGTGTAATGAAATCACACATAGACGTTGGAAAATGGAACTGCAATTGGAGTCGCGGAAAAAAGCAAGGGACCAAGTGGGGAGCTGGTGAGACATGGAGACCATCGACCATCGACACTTTGTACGTTGTTGTGTAAAACGATTGGCGCGTTAATCAACGTACAAATTTCCGACTTATATGGCTAGCGAATTAAATCGTTCCCCCGAGATCCCAGCCGCCGCTAGCCTTCCGATCCGAATCCGAATCCGAATCCCGGCCTGGTCAGCTGTCTCAATGACAGCTCCGCCGATTAGAACTGGAGCGATAAATTATACAATTGCCATGCGTGCGAACTGCAAAGAGAGAGGATCTCGGCTCTCGGATCTCGGATCTCGGAGGATCTCGGTCCATATCGAGCTCCCTCCCGGGTCTCGCCGATGACAATTACACTGATTACATTAAATATATGAGGCCCATATTAGGGGGCCCCCAGTGCCTCGGGGAGTGTTAACTGTTTGCCTCTGCCCCTCCGAAAAGGGGGAATTAAATAAAATTCAAAATATACATATATGTAATTTGTGCAATTTGCTGCCCCTTGAAGTATGCAATGCGACTCGCTGGCACCAAAAGCCTCGTGAAAACTATGCAAATTAGCGGGATTGTGGTCTATTTCAGGAATTATGAACTCTAAATACTCTAATTTTATTCTTAACATTATATAATATAGGAAAATAATTTATATTTTTGTTGCCAGAACATAAAATACGAACAAAATTAAAAACTTAAAAATAAAAAACCATTAAAGTAAAGTTAAAGGGTAATAATTTAAACGAAAACTAACTAACCAGTATTGTTTATATTTTCACAGAACTTTGTCCGTAGTTTGGCACACCCTTTGCCACAATTTGTTTAGCATTTGTCACAACAAAAATTAACTTATGTTTCTTTATTTTAAATCTAATCAAACCCCCATGTGTGGAATTTTAAAAGAAAACCCCTTAGGCATTAAACTCTGACCTATTTGCAATCCAAATCGCATTACCCCAAATACCCTGAGTTCGGAATAAAGAAATCGAGAAACCTGCATGCATTCTTCGACTTACAAACGGCTGCCTTTTTTTGTCGCTTTTTGTTTTGTTATGACCCGTGAGTGCAGTTTGTTTAAAATTCTTGTGGCGCGGCATGAAAAATCAATTATGTTAGTTGAACTCTCCGAGCTAAACGCTAAACAATTGCGCATAATTACGAGCGTTGCGTTTTGGGGCAAAGCGAAACCTAAATGCGGACTGCATTGCCTCAATTTGAGGCATTTGCATAAGAGAAGGGGTAGCAAACAAGAAAGAACAACAATTAAGGTTCCAAATGGCAAAAGTTAATGACCGAACAATTGAGGAAATTCACGTAAATGACGATATTGGAGTTATAAGAAGGAATTCAGGAAATGAATACCAGGGAATCGTTTGTACTGCAGACATTTCAACTGAAATATGGAAAACGGAAGTGATTTTTGAAAGAAAGTCAATGATAAAACATGGGATGTATGTAAATGTAATTACATTGAAAAGAAAATGGACTGTGTAGTTAGGGAAAGTAGTTAATAAGTAATAATAATAGTAAAAATTAAAAGCTTCAAATAACTATTACAATTAAAAAAGGAGAAGGCCAAGCCGTAACCATTGCGCATTTCAATTTTCAGTAAATTTTGTTTACTAAAATTTTCAGTATTTCCGCCCGAAACGCACACACACGGCACCAGAGAGCATGAAATTGAATATTCCGCCATCAGTTCTTCCACTTTGAATTCCGCAACAGACGCGCCAAAACTATCTCTCTTATCGATAGATTTATGAAGGAGTTTTGCAGCACTGCCCCGTGTTCCGTCAAGATAGAGCCGATAACGATAGACGATAGCCGATAGTCGCCTATCGATAGCCGTGCGACGACGAAGAAGGGGAGGAGAAGCAGAGGAGAAAAACAAAAAACCAATTGTGAAAAAGTGTAAAGTTCGGGCAAAAAATCGTAGGATAAAGTCGGGCGCAACGAGCAACGGCACAGCGAAGAGCTCAAAATAGAGAGAGAAAGCGAAGACGAAACGTACCACCTGCCGACGGACCTACCTTTTACCTTTTACCTCCTTACCTTTTCAATCTGATATATTTTCACACGAACACAAACGCGCACACCGACACCGAGAGCAACACGGACACGGACACGGCACGCACGCACACCTGCGCAAGTACACTGTCATCATTTCGCTTGTTGTGTTGTGTTTTTCTTGGTTTGTTATTTGCGAAATTGGAAGACGCGAAGGCCACACAACAAATGCGTGCGGCGACGAGAAGCAATTGGAACTGAGAGATTGGAAGTCGCTGGAATCGCAGTGGAACTGAAACCGGAGGCGCAAACAGGCGGCCGCAAATTGCCGAGTCACGCGGGATCAGCAGACAGTTACAATGTCCATGCGAACGAAGGTTCTGGGTCTGGTGGACGTCATGATGCGCGTACCGCCCGTGATGGTCATCGATGAGATCCTGAAGATTGGCATGGGCCTGCCCACGCGGCTCTATCCGGACAAGTCGTCGCCGTCCTCGTCGTCGGACGAATCCCTGCCCAAGACAGATGCCGTCTCAACGGATCTCGACCAAGATCCCTTTGCCAGCATCAAAGCCTTCTTCGGCCTGGGCGATACCGTAGCGGCCGCCACCACCTCAGCTGCCGCTGTCGCCCAGGAAGCCCTGGAACGGAGCATCGAGAATGCCTCGAGATCGGCGCAATCGGAGGGCATACTCAGCTCCGGCTTCAATTCGCTGATGGACGAGCTGGCCCACGATGAGACGCTATCGGATGTGCTCAGCATCACCACCGTCAAGTTTGTCATCTGCCTCTTTGGTGAGTCATTATCGGGGAGCATCTTGATGGGTTTCGGGGACACTAAAGGTGTTTCCCTGAATGTACACGTCACTCCATTAAAGCCGCGGTCAAGGCCTGACTTAGGCTTTGTTAGCTCAAAGACTTGCCAAGTTATTTTCCATATTTAAAAGGGGAAATATGCTTAAAAATTCATTTATTTAGTTAACAGGGTTACCTTAGATTAAATATTATAAATTAGTAAATGTAAATTGATTTTTTTCTGTAAGATTTCATATTATCTAGCATCGATTTAGACCACATTTAAAATGACTTTTATATCTCAGCTATTTCGGTATAATTACGGTTTATTTAATTTTCGTTATAGTTTCTATAACAAGTTTAATCTACTTAAAAATGTATAAAACTTGCCAAATTGCAAATAGTAAATAGTGTCAAGTACATATAAATTTTGATCAAATTTATACCAAAAATTTCAGATCTATTTATTTGTACCCTTGCAGGGTGTTATAATTTTAATCAGAAGCTTGTAACTCTGTAAGAAGTCATTTCCGACCCTATAAAGCATATATATTCTTGATCAGCGATCTCGATCTAGCTTTGTCTGACAAAAATTTACATTTTTCAAAATTTTTACATTTTTATAAGGGGTAAATTTTGATATTTGCACTTTGAAAAAATTGATCAAAATTTTAGTTTTTAAAAATTTTGAATTCAGTATGCAGATTTATTATTCTAATAAAAACTTCCATGGAACAGCTTTCCGAATTAAAATTAATGCATTTTTGACTTAGTTATGGATTTTTTAGAACAAACTATCATATAAAATATTGATAAAAATCCGTTTAAAGAGAGGTATTATAATTTTCATCAGAAGCTTGTAACTCTGTAAAGATCCATTTCCGACCCTATAAAACGTATATATTATTGATCAGTATTATCAGCGAATCGATCTATCTGTGTCCAACAAAAATATAATTTTTTCCAAATTTTCACAATTTTCAAATCGTCAAAACGGACAAAAATTATAAAAAAAAATCTAATTTTTAAAACTTTAAACTAAGTATGCAGATTTAATAATCTGATAAAAACTAACACAGAAAAGGTTTCCGTTTTTAAATTAATGTATTTTTAGCCTAGTTATGATATTTGAAAAATTTTAATTTACCCGAAAAATGTTTCAAATAAATATATCGATTTATTCCCACATTATATACATAGTTATTTCAAATTGAACAATGGTATACAAACTTTGGCTTCCCAAAGTCACATTCCTATCTTCTTTTATTTCAATTTAGGACCATTTCTTTGTTATTTACAATTTCTCGTCTATTTTAAAATAGTTTCTAGTTTCATATAATTACCAAACAAAGGCATTTAATATTCTATTCACTTATTTTAATTTATTCACTCCCTCGCCTTCTTATAGAGGAAATCGATAATACTCCTTGATAATGAACATCGACAAGGCTCCATAGATTGGTTAATTATGTATATAAACCTATGAGCTCCTAGAAGCTCTGACGTAGGAAAAAAGAAACGCCATCGAAAGAAACTGTTTGGAATGCTTTCCCACTGCTTTTTTCTCGCCTAATCACTATGACTGCTATAGAAAATAAGTACGAACTAAAATAAGATAGCAGAGAAGTGTACCGAATCATTGTTAAGTTTTAAAATGTAAAGAGAGGTCTGTTATCTTCAAAAATAGATTAAACTAATGATAATGCATTTAGATAGGTCAGGTAATGGCCAAAGACAGGAAAGTAGCTAGGAATTCTTTGAATGATATTGAACTAGAAATTACCTATTCTTAAACAAAAAACAGTTTGAAATTTGCTCTAGATTTTATATACTTACTTGTAATATACTTAAGCTTTCCCAGCAATGAGACAGAAAATACAAACCTGTCCAATTTATTTAAAAGTTCATTTCTTTCGACCCGAGCTAACAAAACCACTAAATTCCAAGGGCGCTAATCGCGCGCGTACTTTGACCGTCCATTAAAATGGAAACAAACACAAAGTGAATCCATGCCAATGCGTAGCACTTGACTCATTCATTACCTTTATGTGTTGCAGGTTTCCTCTCAGCCGCCTGCATCTTTATGCTCTGGACCCGTCACCTGGTGATGGTCTACATGTTCCTCACCTCGCTCGCCCTCACCTTTCTCTCCTACTGGTCCAACGTGAGTGCCCTGGCGCTGATGGAGCACAGTCCCTGCATACTGGAGGACCTGATGTCGTTGAACACCACAAGGTTACTGGATTCGGGCGGGGTGGTCATGTCCTTAGCACCGCACCTAATGGCCCAATGGTTTATGGGCATGCTCTTCGCTTATATCCATCTGGGTCCCAGGTACGAGATGCTCCAGAGATCGATGCCCATCATCTTTGCTAGTCCCATACTGGTGGCCATGCTGCCGCTACCCCCAAAGATGGTGCAACAACTGCCCTTGGTGGCTGGATTTACGCCCATCATCCTGACAATGATAACGCTGATGCACAGCGCCATGGAGGCGAGTCGAACGGTGTACAATGGGTATCAATATGCCATGAATTTCGTGTCCAACTTTGGCCTATCCGCATTGATCGAGAACGAGTGGCAGCGATTGAATGTGCCCAATGTGTTGCGGGTTTTCTGGACCATCAGGTGAGCGAGCAATTAACTAATATCATGAAAGTAAAACTAAAATAATTACCTCTTAAAACAGAATCATTCAAGGTGGATATGCCTTGGCCATGGCGGAAACTGATGAACCCTTGGAACTAATGCCAGCGACCGAGAAACTGCTAGTCGATGGATGTGAGACACTAACCGCCGTACTGGGCATGACCGGTGTCATCTCAATGATATGCCATTACATTGGTCGCGGCTTCCAGTGGTATCTGCTTACCTATGACAATGATGAGGAGAAATCCCTGGGCACTGTGTCGGCGGTGCTCTTCTACATTTTGGCCTTGCAAACGGGCCTGACTTCTTTGGCGCCGGACAAGCGTTTTGTGAGATTGTGCCGGAATCTTTGCCTGCTTATGACCGCCTTGCTGCACTTCCTCCACAACATCGTATCGCCCATTCTGATGTCGTTGAGTGCGGCGCGAAATCCATCTAGGAAGCGACATGTTCGTGCTTTAACCGTGTGCGCTTTTCTGGTTGTGATGCCCGTCTCCCTGCTTTACTACCTCTGGTCGCAAAGATCCATCTCCACCTGGTTGCTGGCAGTTACCGCCTTCTCCGTTGAGGTTATCGTTAAGGTAAGAGCTGTTCTTCGGAAATAAATTTCAAAAAATAATGAAATAAAATGAACTCCCTTTAGGTGCTCGTTTCGCTGGCCACCTACACGCTCTTCCTCCTGGACGCCCGTCGGCAGTTCTTCTGGGAGAAGCTGGACGATTATCTGTACTATGTTCGGGCCTTTGGCAATTCGGTGGAGTTTTGCTTTGGCATTTTGCTCTTTATAAACGGTGCTTGGATCCTGATCTTTGAATCTGGTAAGTGGCTTAGCGTCCGCATCTGTTTGTCATTAAACTCATTGAGTGAACGGTGGGATTCATCGCTTTTGTGGGGCACATCCGGATATATTCGTTGCGCGTCCGTCCAGCATTCCATTAGTCAGTCTCATCTGTGTGTGCATGTAATTTTTTTTTGTTTATTTGGTTGATTTTTTTTTGTGTATCGATAATTATAACTTGATAGCCCAAAATGCTACAGGCGGCGCCATCAGAGCGATAATGATGTGCATCCATGCCTACTTCAACATTTGGTGCGAGGCCCGGGCGGGATGGTCGGTGTTCATGAAGCGCCGCTCGGCGGTCCACAAGATCTCCGCACTGCCAGAGGCGACGCCAGCCCAGTTACAGGCCTTTGACGATGTCTGCGCCATATGCTACCAGGTGAGATTATCAGCCGGAATATCATAAACAACAAAATATAAATGTTATAAATATTTGCAGGAGATGTACTCGGCCAAGATAACGCGGTGTCGGCACTTCTTCCACGGCGTTTGCCTACGCAAATGGTTGTACGTTCAGGATCGTTGTCCTCTGTGCCACGAGATAATGATGTACACGGACAAGGCGGAGGATAATGCTCAGGAGACCGAACCAGTGGCAGCAGCTCAGGCAGAACAGCCCCTCAGGCTTTATCCAAGAGATGTGAGTGCGCTAAAGCTATTCCTGGTTGGGTAGCCTTTTTAAATGAATTAATAATTTCAAGCAGGATGGCAACAATGCTGGCGGAGCGGCCGCACGACGCACGCCAGAACGAACTACTCCCGATGTGCCGGAGATGACCGCCACTTCCGCGAACGCATCAGTTGTTGCAACAGCAGCGGCACAGATTGGAGCCGAGGCTGCCGCGGCCATTGTGGAGTCGGCCGCTGTTGTGGCAGCGAACAGTGCCAGTTCCAGTGCCGGCGGTGGTGGTAGCAGTGCCAGCAGCTACATTAGCTCCACATCCGCCCAGCCGCCACCGCCAACGGCCACATCGGCGGCAGCGGTGGCCACGGCGGCGGCCAGCAATACAACGCACATGTTCCGGATGTCGCAAGAACAGCAATAGGCGTACCTCTTCAACTTCTAATATATACATTATGTAAAAATGCAAATGCTTTCCCCTCTCTCTTTTCGTAACACACACACACACACCTAACACACCCCTCGATCCTCATAGGCCACAGTCAGACGCAGCCATGCTTAAATTAAATTAAATTATAAACGCGTCCCCCGAACGTGTTGAAGAGACGATAATTGAACCAGAGATCTATGTAAGTTAAGTTTATGGTAAAAAGTTGATCCAAAAATGTTGAAAAACACAAACAAAAAAATAAGAAACTTAGCCCTAAATCAGTGTAAAAAAAAGCACCCAGCAGCATGAGAAAAAAAAAACATTTTGTGGTAAAGTCTGAAAATGATTTAATCAAGTTACCAAGTAAAACGAAAAAAAAACTAGTTAAAAACATAAATAAAACGAAATCAATTGCGATGAAAAATGTGTATAATTTTGTAAATGTAAAAAGAAAAAAATCATTGTTTTGTTTTCTTTTTTTTTAATTTAAATTACACCTATGTACGTTTATTTAGATTTAATATAATTAAACGAAAAAGAAGCGGAAAATACAGAAAACAGCAAACAGATAATAGTCTAATTTAAGCAAAAAACACACAGAAAATAACAATTGTATTGATTTTTGTTGCGGATTCTCTTCGGGGATATATAACAATATAAACAGTGAGTTATGGAGATGCAAAGCAAAATCTATTTCATTTTATAAACATTCAACTGAAAAGAAATGTTTGCTGACATTTGAGAAAGCTTTACAGCTCCAAAGTGCACTGTTTGTAGTAGTAGAATCTCCACGCTTAAGGGTATAGCCTTAAGCTGGTAAAAATATCAAAGTTTTCTATGAATTTTGTATATAAGCAAACGATATACAAACGTCTCTAATTCAAGTTCCTCTGAAGCGATCTCAATTGAAAATCAAGTCGTTGTAGTTGCGGAGCAGGTGATAAGGCGACACCCGGCAACAGGTGGTGGTACGGACCACAGTAATGCGATCAGCTCGCTCGAAGTTGGCCTTCACCGTCTCATAGTAACGACCATCGCTGGAAAGCCAGGAGATTAGGTTACAAAAAATAAACAAACAGAAGTCAAAGCCCTTACCTGAGGACCATGCATCGCAGCTTGAGGCACTTGACACGCAATATATCGATGGCCTTCTGGCTTTTGTCGGAGAAACGCAAGTTATCCGGATCCCAACGCAACTCCAGACGCTCCAGATTGCCGCAGTTGGAGGCAATGGTGTCCATCAGTTGATCCACGTGGATGTTTACGCCCAGCTTCTCAGCAGTGCCCATCACAATGATCCTTTACCGGTTCAAAGGATTTGTTATTAAAATAATTTTACATAAATAATAGAAATTCATACTTGCAGTTGCCCAGCAAAGGTAGAATGCTCATCCATAACTGGTCCGTGATGTGGGGCATTCCCGAGAGGCAGCAGGCGCTGAGTTGGTGTCCCTGGCGCTGCACGAACTTGAGCAGGCCCTCATCCGTGATGTTGTCGGAGGAGTCCAGGTCCAGAGAAATCAGAGATCTGGGATAAAATATTCGAATTAAATAAAGAGCGAAAAGGCAAGACTAAACCCCATCACCTCGTTGTGCCCGACTCCATCCACTGCTTGAGCACACTATCGTTGAAACCATTGATCTGACCGGCGGACAAGAACTTGAGGCTGGGTATCCTGGTCAGCATATCCACCAGACACTCGGTGGACAGATCCGTGGCCGTGATATCCAGCTCCTGCAAAGCGCACTTGTCCCACTCCGCCTGCATCACGAACTCGGACTTCAGGCTGGTTCCGTTCATCAGCAGACAGGTCAGACGCTTTGATCTCTGGATGAGGGTCTTCAGAGTGGATCCGGTGACCTTGTTGCAAAAGTTCACGGCCAGGCACTCCAGCTGGATGCAGTTGGAGCTGAAGGCATCGATGTGCGAGTCGTCGATGAAGTTGATTCCATACAGATTAATCACCCGCAAATTGGGCGTAGCCGACTTTAGTTTGTGAACGTTGATTACCTGTGGGGATAGAAAGCATTATATAGAATATATATAGAATGTAAGAAATAATTTGGGTGTACCTCGTAGATCTCCTCCTCCTCCTCCTCGCACTTCTCGTAAGTGCCTATGAGATGCAGTACCTCCAAACCGTTGATAAAGTTGTAAATCTTGCGCATGAAACCCTCCATGAAGATGACCTCCGACAGGCAGATGCACATGTACCGGAGTTTGGTGGGGAAAGCCTGCATCTCGCTAAAGTCATGCAGCTGCATAGCTAAAATGTACATAAAGTAGTAATTATAAATTAATAATAAAGTCATAGTTAACTCACCTGTGGAGAAATCCAGCAGCATGTGCGTGAGATTGGGACACTTGGCCGACAGTTCATGGAGCACCGTGTGCGTGATGAGCTCAATTGGCAGCTCAATGTACCGCAGCGTAGGACCGAATCTCACGGATATCAGCTGGAGCAGCATCTCCAGGGAGCCCACATGGAGGCCAGAGACCTCCGGCCGCAGGGATACATTCTTCCAGAGACGTGTATCATAGGCAATCGAGCGCCAGCGACGACAAATCCTGGCCAGGCGGCAAATCTCGCGATGCGATAGATACGAGAAAATGTGCAACAGAACCTTGTCAGGAAGCTTCTCAATGGTCTGTGGTTAAGAAAATATATATAAATGTATAATTTCAGTAATTTAAAGAGGTTATTTAATGGGACATTAAAAAACAATAGCCCTCCACTTTCAGTTTAATTAACTTTCGTTCTCTTAATCTCCTATTCTCAGTGATGTCCATCTATATGTTATCACAAAATTTTGAATTAATTCGTTTTTATTATTTTGCAGAATATCTCTCTTTCACTCAGGCCTTTCTCTCCCAGACAAAGAGCGAGGAATAAGTAAAGTATATCTTTAAATTTCAAAAAACCAATACCGTATCGGCAAAAGGGCTGCGAACTGTGCCATCCGACAGGTAAACCTGCGAGGCTTCGACGGCCAGCTGACCCCAGATATCCGTGGAAATATCCATCCCTCAGTCCAGGTGTTGCACTTGTCTATATAGATTCGATTCGAAAGCACTTGCTTATATAAAAAAAATATATAGTTAAAAAAACACAGAGGAACACCACGCGTTTTTCGGCCTGCCAGCTGAATGTCCGTCGGACTGAGCTACTTTCGCGCTACTGCGAGTGGGAGATCCCACCGAGATCGCATCGGATTCTCCAAAAGACCGACCCACCGCCAGGCAATCGACTCAAGAGAAAAACAGGGATACCTATTAATAGACGAGCGGTAGTAATAATGGCAGCAGAGATTCGAGAGACCTATCATCAGCTGTTTCGCAGACCCGCACTACTTACGCACTCTCCCAGAACCACTGAATATCGTCCAACAAGAAGTATGTAAGATTTTCTATTAAATACAGTGAGGAAATATCTATTAACCCAAATTAAAATCAAATTCAAATTTAATTCCTACGAGTTCCCAAAGAGTCTGTAGATATTTGAAATCACATTAAATCAATCAACACTGATTTTCTCTTGGGATGTCTAACTACAGCATCTATTCTGATAGATTCATCTTTTCAAAATATATCTAACAAAGGCATCTTCTTATTTCTGATTGATTTAACTAAGTAAATTAATTTGAGTGTACTTTGTGGTATATGTATTTGAAAGCATTTTATTTGTTTGCCAAGTATTCTATATATACGCCACCGATCGGCCGGGTTTGTTTTGTTTACTATATAGTAATTGGAATGCTACTCACCAGTCGCGTTTTTCCCGCCGCATTGAGATCATCGCGTCCTCCGATCGCCTGCGTTTGTGCTGCCAAAACATTCCAAGTATCCATGGCAGGATATGCCTCGGATCAATCGTGGAAAGTGTTCTGTGTTATGGTTTATTTTTGTGTCTCTGGATCCGGGTGAGTCTGGTTCTATCTATCGGTGCTAACTCTATTGGGAATATGCATGTGTTGGCGTCTATAAGTAGCATAAGCAGTTCATTCATGAGATTTGCGATTCGGTGAAGGTTCGACATTATAATTGTTTATTGTTTTTAAAAATATTATTTTAATTTATTATTATATGACTTAAAATTGAATTAAGCTTTCCTAAGCAGTTCTTTGTATTCAATTACTGCTTGAGAAGTATTTGCACTGTCCCAAGCAGTTCCTTGGATTTAAAATCAGGTTGCGAATTTTTTGCACTGCTTATATAAGCAGTACGTCAGGACAATCTTTTCCCTTAATACTTTGAAATGTTTACTTATTGAAATATTTAATAATAATAGTTGTCCATAAAAAAGTCAATATATACTAATAAAAATGTGCAGAAGAATGTTCAAGCAACAATATTACTTCGTCAGTTACTTTACCTAAGCAGTTCTAGGAAGACAGTTTCCTGGATTTCACAACTGCTTGCGAAGGAAAAGTGCTTATGCTTTTTGGATACATTTAAATATAAACTTATTATTTACTTTTGTATTATTTTATTAAATTATTGACTTACATATTATTAATATTCTTAATTATTAGATTTCACAGTTATAATATAATAATGTTTATGTGCTATCCAAATGAATGACCAAAGGATGCAAAAAAAGCCAAAATAGAAGCCATACGTTTTTAATGTTTAAGCATCACAAGACACATAATTACCCATTTTATTGATTAATCAAATGAAATTGTTAGACACTCTATAAATACAATTTGATGCAAGAACAAAAGCCATTAATTAATTACTTGTTGCCTTGGTGCAACTTGCAATTAGATTGTTAAAATACAGCGAATTTCGGCAGTGTCAAATTATGCAAAATTTATTTTATGTACACTGTTGTCTTTTTGTTTTTTTTCATTATTTAATTTGCGAGTACACATCAAAAATTTGTTTTACCCTTTGCCTGGGTTATTTATAGGCCTTTCGCCTGGCTCTGGTCGCCAATTTGTGTGGCTGCAACGCCTCGAAAATCACCGAAAAATAATGCAATTTCGAAACTTTTGCCACGACAATGCTGCGGAAATACTTGGCAAATTGCAATGATTTCATTCACTTCTTCGCTGGCAAATTACTTGCTAATTGGATGCAGTATCCGGCGGATATCGGTCGATTCTACGGCATTTACATGGGCGATCTTCGGCGTTCCGCGCACTTGACGGCTCCACAACTCTCTGGCGACTGAGGAAACTCAGGCGTCCGCGAAAAATGGTCAGCAGAATGCCAAAATCCGTTCGGCTAGATGGTCGGACCGCTCCGATGGACATGGAGGGGTTATTCGGGGACGATCCCAAAGCGAAGAGAAGATGTAACCTGCAAGTCCGTTGCTCTGATGGCGCCCGGCCAACAAGAGGCCAAATAATGGGGCGTGGCATCCGAGGTATTCATTTTCATATAGCTTCAACACACAAAAAATAGCATTTGCGTTATGAGAGTCCACAAATAAATCATAAACTTGTATTATTTGATAGCAGAGCTGCTCTCATCATGCACTGTCTCAGGAGCTCTCTATAAAGCCCTTTAGATCATACATATATCCTTAAGGTCCTTAATATATATGATCCGAAATTTGACTGGAGGTTACATTCACTGACTCATGAAGTTGCATTCCGGAGTATCCCCCTTACAAAAGTAAAAAAACAACCTAAAATATGAGTATTCTTAATATATTAAACCGATATTTTTAATGCTATTTATTTTGGGTATATAAAAGTTTTTCAAACATCATAACTTAGCCAAAAGTGTCTTAATTTCGAATCGGAAAGCTGTTCTGTGCTAGTTTTTAATAGGTTAATAAATCTGCATACTTAATTACAATTTTGAAAACATAAAATTTTTTTGCAATTTTTCAATAGTCAACAATGTCAAAATGTCCCTTAAAAAATTTAAAAAAATAATTCAAAATTTTTTTTTGCTTTCTTACACGCCTAGAAAGTTTCGTCTATTGATGCTGATCAAGAATATATATGTTTTATAGGGCCGAAAATGACTCCTTCACTCCGTTTTAAGCTTCTGACTGAAATTCTTTGGATCGATATTTATCTATATATTTATATGACGATTTTTCTAGTACCTACAGCTAAAAATACTCATAACTCAGTCAAAAAAGCATTTATTTCGATTTGGAAAGCTGTTCTGTGCTAGTTTTTAATAGGTTAACAAATCTGCATACCTTAAATAAAATTTTGAAAACATTAAAATTTCTTCAATTTTTCAAAAGTCAACAATGTCAAAATATCCTACATGCCTAAAAAGATTCGCCTGATGATGCTGATCAAGAATATATATGGTTTATAGGGTCGGAAATGTTTCCTTCATTACGTTTCAAGCTTCTGACTAATGTTTTAATGTACTGCAAGGGTATAATAATTATTACAATTTATTAGAATTTCAAACAAAATTTAACAAGAACGATATCATCATTTATTTAGCTATATAATTTTCCAAATAATATAATAGGTTTATTCAAATGGAAAGTTTTGTATTAAGGAAACTTATGGGACTTAATAATTCGAACTCCATAGTTCTCGTATCTTTCCACAAAAGTCTTGGTCCACTCGCCGGTCAGACATCCGCCGTCGCAGTTGCAACCAAACATGTTGCAAGATCCTTGTCCGCAGAAGCTGCCCACCTGGGCCACTCCGTCCGCGCAGATCCGCACCTCGCAGGTGGAGCCTCCATAGCCACCCACGGATGAGCAGGTGCCCCTATCGACTGTAAAGGTCACATCCTCCACGGTGACGCAGCACTCTGCCTGGGCATCCCTGACCAAAGCCAGGCAGCAAATCCCAATGAGGAAAAGTGTGTAGACTATTGATGATCCCATGGTTAGACAGTGAATGATGATTTCGTCCCAATATAATTCGAATTTATAGGCTAATATTCGAATATTTTCGCTGAGTCAGCAAATAAAAAAGCTACATATACATATATATAAGCATTAAATTTCAAGTGAACTAATATTGATAGTGCATTATTTCTAGGAACAGATTGAAATCTTAGATAGATAATGTAATATTTTACAAGAAATATATGTAAAACAAAAGCTTTCTTATGTAAACAGTAGATTACAAAATAATAGTATAATTGAATGTTTATTATAGACATATGGTTATAATGTACATTTTTTAAAATTTTCTATTATAAACTCAATCGAACGATCCATTGATTTAATAGAATTATTATATTTTTTAAGTATAAAACTATTTTCTTATTTCCAAAATCATGTAAAATAAAATAAAATTAATATTGTTAATAGTATAAATAGAATTATAAAATCTGTGATAACAGAACAAGAAACAGCTGACTTTAAACCATAAACTTTAAACTTCACTTATTTTTTACCAAAAACCTATTTATTTTTTGAAGCCAGAAGCGGATAGAAATTGAATTCTTCGGAATTTTGAAGCTATAAAACAAATTTGTGAAGGTTGAATTTATATAAATTTAAATTCCAACAAAATTCAAATTACTAAAAACAGCTGTTCCCACTCAAATTATTCGATAACTTTAGTGCAACACTGGTTCTGATCAGAAGCCATCGCCATAACAACCGCCTCACTTTTTTCATTCGTTTCTCCGCCGCCCAACGAGCCAGTTGTTGTTGTCTCCCGCTATCGATAAACGTAGGTGTGCCCCTACTGCGCCTGTGTGCGTGCATGTGTCAGCAGCAGCGGAGTTTCGTTGTTTATTTGAATTTCTGTGATAAAAGTGCCTCTTAAATTACCAAACTAAACAATTATAAACAAAATGTAAAATCTACTGAGCTGGCCAATTGAAAAAATACGGCATAAATGTTTGTTTATATTTGGTACAGTGCGCGTTGCAAGTTGCAACCAGTTTGTTTGCGTGTGTGTGCATGTGTGTGGGAGAGTAAGAGTGAGAGTGAGAAAGAGAGACGCCCAGAAAAGAGAATAATAAAAAAGAGAATAAATATTCCGTATTTATGACCAAAAATATTAAATATTTATTATAAGTACAAACAATTTTATAGAACATATCAATATGCATTTCAATTGATCTTATCAATTTTAATTTTGTATTACTATTACATTTTAAAATAATTGTAATCCAAATAAATATTCTAAAAATATATATATAAATAAAGTAAATTGCATAGCATAAATTAGTTTCATACTAAAAGCATTAAATTGTAAATTTCATACAAATAAAAACTTTTTTCTTATCGCATGTCCTTCGCCAAATATTTATAAAAATTTTTTACTTAGGAGGAAAAACACTTATTAATAGTCTTTGAAAGTAATAATTATGTGTTTTTATAAGAATATTAAATTTTATTACTTTAACCCTTCTGTTTAGAACATTTTCTAATACTCTTTTTTCTAGAATAACACATTAATATATCGCATTTTATTTCCTCAATTAATATATGTTCGAAAAAAACAGCCGTGACCAATCCCAAGACGACCCCCTTGAGCAATTGTCATAAACAAATTAGATGCAATTACAATTATGCGGAATTACAGAGCTCAAAAATGCCGAATTAATTGAGTCTAAACCAATTAGAATCCCAAGATGGAATTTATGAGCCCACAATCTCACTTCAATTATACATTTATCTTAATATAAGAACAATTGCAAAAGGTTCCTTTAATAAGATACGAAAATAAACAAAAATTGCTTTTTGAAATTCTTGATTTACAATTTAAGTTTAATAAGTTTACCAACTTTTATATGAAAACTTAAAAAGCTATACCAGTAATTAATATTTAAAGTGAGTGTCTGATTCAATGGATTTAATGATATATTCATCATACTTTTTAATATTTGATTGATTAATTTTAAGTGCTGTCACTGTATTCTACGGTCGGTATTTTAAAAACATGCATTTTTTTAAACTCTATTTCAGACTCTACCGAACAAACAAGATGTCATACTCCGCGGAGCGAGCTCTATCCTTTCTGTACCCCACGGCGATCGTGACTTCGGTGGTCTGTTGCATCACCTCGGCGGTGGCCTGGTCTCATTGGCGCTACGTCCTGAACGCCTGTCCGGACACCAACTGCGGCTGCGTCCTCCACAGCCGGAGCACGTACAACAGCTTCGAGGGCGGCAATATCGCCTATTGCCACTATGCCACCTACGGACTGCTGCTGCCGCTGATCTTTGCCATCGTGCTGGGCATCTACCATGGATATCGGATGTGCATCGGGCGGGGCAAGCCCAAGGCGGGCACGGCCACAATCAGGCAGCGGTGAGTGGTCCCAGATCCGGACATTCTAATTCCAATTCCGACGCGACTGTCTCTGGGGGTCAAGTGGGTTAATCGATCGGTTAACCGGGACACACATTCGCTCTTCTAATTAGGTCTTATGCTAATAGTGACCACGCTGCGTATGAGTAATAATATTGCCAAATAAGGCAATTGGATGGGGAAAATAATTTCGAAATTGGAACTTACATTCTATTAGTTTACAAAATAAATAATTAACTTCATTTCTTAAATTTTTCCTTTAGATCCGGTGACATGATTGTGGTAACCACAGAGTCGGAACTTACACCCGATGGACTCTCCCCATATTATTGTGAGTATTCTTAATGCAATTTAACAAGATATTTAATAACTTTTCCTTGCTTTGATAGGGCTGCCGGCTACCGTCATCTCTGTGATCATGGCCATCTATCAACTGATCTACTCTGCCATATTCACGGATGGATTTGAGGTGACCTGCAAGCAGTACAGGGAATCGCTTTTGAAGGAAATCCAGGGTGTGGGCAATATAGTGCCCGTGATCAAGTCCCGATTGTCTTGTGCCGCCGTTTTCGATTTCATGGACTATTTGGTGGAGAGCATCTCTTATGAACGAAGGCGCTATGGACGCATTAATACCGCTGCATGCCTCTATTTCACCCTGATCTTCGCCTGGTTGGCCCTATTCGCCTGGCTGGCCATCTGTGTGATCAACATTGTGAACCTGCGCCGCACAAAAGCGCAAAGGGTCTGAGCAAAAGCCTCAGGAACTTGGAAATAATGCCAATCTAATATATTGGAATGGATAAGGCATAAACTAAGACATTCCCCACGCACATTCGCCTTATATATTTATGTTTAATCGTAGCCTTACGAAGCGCCACTTATTTATTAGTAGAAACACACACATCAATTACGTCCACGGTTCGAACCGCCATCAAAAACGCATCGTACAAATTTAATGTCTGAGCAACAACGAACGATTAATTAAATCACGACATAACTCTTACAAATTTGTCTGTTGTTTTTTATTGAATAGCGTTGTTAAGTTATAATTATACTTATAAAGTAGGGATTTAGATGTTCAAAATAGCACAGAATATTTTATAACAACTAAAGTAATATCAAACTTGTCAATAACTTTTTGAACATTTGAATATTATTATTTTAAATTGAATCTCTTCCCAGAAATATTCTGTTTTAATTTGATTATCACTATGATTTAGGAATTAAATTTCGTTTAATTATCGTATAATAGTAAATTACAAATTAAATATTTATGCGTTTCAATAGAAATTGAATAATAATTAAATAATAACGTTAAAATTTGAAATGTAACAGCAAAACAAATATTCATATTCGATAACACCGAACACTGTTTTGCAATCGTGTCTTGAAATCGAGTAGTCGATAGCTTGCAACTCTATAAATCGACTAATCGATACCAAGACTTACTGCTGACGTGCCGCATCCCAGAATTTGTTTACGTGAAAAAATAGCTGCAATTAACGAATAATCTCTCAAACAGAATGCTGGACATACAGACGCATATGGTAGGTGCTTGAAGTATATAAATTTAACCTTATGTTAACTCTAATTCACCTCTAAACCTCAGGATTTTGTGGGCCAGGGAAAGGCGGAGCGCTGGTCCCGGCTCATCATCACAGTTTTCGGCGTTATCGGCCTCATCTACGGAGCAATTGTCCAGCAATTTTCGCAAACTGTGTATATCCTGGGAGCGGGCTTCCTGCTCTCCTCTCTGGTGAGTGTCTTAGGACCAAGTCCCATTTGGAATTCTCTCAAGTTAATTGCCGAAAACCCCCAATCTTAGATCACCATTCCGCCATGGCCCTTGTTCCGTCGCAATCCGCTCAAGTGGCAGAAACCCATCCAAACGGATGGCTCCTCCGGCAAGTCGTCCCCCAGCTCCGAGTCCGGTGACGAGGGCAAGAAGAAGAAGAAGTAGTAGTCCTAGTTAGGCGTAATTCGTGTATTTCTCACACTCTATCCAAGAATATAAACTATAACTAAATGGGACGTCGATAGGCAATGAGTTCGTTGTGATCGTAGTATTTGTGGATGAGATCGTACATGTTGGCGAAGAAGAAAAGCAGGTCGTCGTACTGTCCGTTGTATGGCGATTCCCGGTCTACGACTTCCTCCGCTGCCGCCGGCGCAGGAACCACCTTGAGCGGTTCGGCCAGCCGATGGAAGCTCTCGGTTATCTCCAGATTGTCCAGGCCGCGGTAATGGGCACTCAGGCCCCAGGCGTTGATGTGCACCTCAAGGAGGAACTGGTGGATGGCCTCAATGGTGGCTAGGTACCAGCGTGGACTGCCGCGCTGATGGCGCCAGAACTGCGACAGCCGATTCTGCAGCACCACCGTTCTCAGGCCTCGGACCCGCTCGTCGGCGTAAATGCCGCGACTCTGGTTCCACGTGCTGTCGATGAAGACGGCCCGCCGGATTGGCAGGTTGTCCAGTTTCCAGCATCGCAGCTCCTGCTCCGGCTTGTCATCGTCCCCTTGGATCTCCACCTCGTCCATACGGCGGCGCAGCATGGTTCCCATGTGGTGGCCCTTGGGTAGGCCATAGTTCTCTCCTATCTGCAGCTGAACGTTGCGCTCGAAGAGCTGCGGCACCGTGGCCGCCTTGGCGCTGGGAAAGATCAGCACCACCCCGTCCTCCTTTCTATAGTCCGGTATGTCCGGAAATGTATGGATTCGCACATGTTCCGGCGCCAAGACGGCCGCATGCACAGCCGTGCTCTTGCCGTCAATCTCCTTCTTGTGCTTGATTATGTCCACCAGCAGCGGTAGCTTCAGTTGGGGCAGCACAGTCGCCAGTTCGCCGACGGGTATGTAGCAATTGTAGCAGAAGAACTTCCTCGAACGATGGCACAGCCGGCAATTGTGCCGTCCCTCGATGGTGTCCAGTACGGTGTGGTCGGAAATCCGCATGCCCACGAACGGGTGCTTGCGTACGCGCGACTCTTGGGCATCCAGGGGATGCGACATCTTGTTTTAAACAAAGAAATCACAATTTAAAGGTCAAAAAACCATAAATGTAACCGATTTCCGCAACTTGTACAAAGTTATCGATAACACCCATCGCAGGGCTGGCGACTACTCGAAAAACATATGTTCTGGAATACCCCCAATTACTGCATGCAGTGCCGTCACCTTAGCTATTTCTTGTTGGCTATTTATAGCCAGTTTGGTCAATCGATAACAGCGATAGCGATAGCCTAGTCAGCTGTTCGCGCGGGAAATGTTAAGAATCATTCTCCGGTAAAATTAGTGAAAAATAGTGAAAAACGTATGTTTTCCTCGGTAAAAGTTCGCGAAAAACGATGCGGGGCATTCGGAAGTGTGTCCACTGCGGTGCTCTGAACGGGAATCGAGCCCAGCTCTGCCGGAACATCGAGTGTCCGCAGCGCAGAAATGTTCTTGACGCCGTCCAATTGGTGTCTCTGCGGCCAGGATCCACGGTTTACTCGCTGCGATCCAACGAGAAGGAGCAGCAGCCGCGAAACTTTGTGGTTATACAGGAGGTGACAGTGTCCCTGCAGCCGGATGCGGCAGTGGTGTCCAGCAAGGCGCTGTGCTACGCGGAGTCCTGCTACAAGGGCGGCGTAAAAGCCACCGAGGACTGCGTGCACGTCAAGACCTGCCGCGATCTGGGCCCGGAGTTTCCCAAGGCCCAGGCCTACAGTGTGTCCCGCGAGGTGCTGTGGAATCTGAACATCAGCCAGGAGCAGAAGCAACAGCTCTGGCAGCTGTACAAGTACGCCGAGGAGCAGGAGCACCTGCCGGCTGTTCAGCGACTAAACGCCACCACCTTTGTGGTCAAGTGCGAACGGTCCGAGTCCTGTCCAGCTGCTCGACTGCACGTCACCGCCCTGGCCAATGGCTCCAAGAGGAAGCCGGGGGCCAGCTATGCCTGCGCCTGCCGGAAACTGAAGATTATCGTGGAGCCGGACAACTCTCTGGTGATGCAGGACGAGATCTGCGACCACCTGCTGCTCGTCCTGGCGGGCATCCTAAGCTCACCGCACGGCAAACGTTTATACGGACACTTCACCAGCGGCCTGCAGTCCTTCTGGATGCCCTCGCAGCTGGAGACACCTCTCGGAGATGGCGCTGCCGAGGATCTGCGCTTGAGCCTGCACATGGAGGACGATGACTTTGATCCTCAGGTGGACATTCTGGTCTTTGGCGATCAGCTGGATGTGAGTATTGTATTTACTTGCATTCCGCCATCATTCAGAACTTTACTCCATTTAGCTTCCCCTGCCAGATCTGTCCGACGGCGCCTTCAACCTTGACAACATGCAAGCGGCGGCCACCACCAGTCACAGCAATTCGAACCAAGCCACCAGCAATGCCCTCATCCACTACGCCAACGACTCGCAGCTGCTGTCGAACTGCGATGTCTATGCGGAGCCCATTGAGCTCACGGATTGCAACATCGAGCTGATGGACCAGTTTCAGCCAACGGATCAGATTGATCTGAGCAGCGAGGACATTGAGCTGCCGCTAATCAGTGAGCCGTACAACATTTTGGCCGCTCCACCCATCTTTTCGGAGGCCTCGCCTGCGGTGGTAACCGATCAGCTGCCAATTGAGTTGGCTACCATAGCGATGGTTAAGAAGGCGGCTCCTGTCAAAGCCTCGGAGATCGTGACAGAAGTAAAGTCGAGGAAACAACCGCCCCTGCCGGCCAAAAGAGCGCTAATTGTGAATAAGCCAGATCAGACTCAGGTCCTGGATACTCCCTGCTTGGAGGCATCCGTACAGCCGGCATTGGCGTACTCCGCTTGGCTGGATCATGTGGTTGAGCTGCTCAATGAATCACTTGAGCCCCAGGCAACACCTCAGGCGGGGATCACAAAACGATTGGTGCAACAAAGCTTTCACGTGCACAAGGTAGGATTTTAAAACTAGCTCAAGCATTAATGATATTTTATACTTAACTTTATTTCAGGACACCTTTTCGCACTTTTGCAAGTGCTTCAGTGCGGGAATTAAGCGTCGTCCTTTGGATAAGGTAACTGTGATAGAATCGGGCCGATATAAAGGTCTTACCAAATACACCTGGCATTTTACAACCTCGCACACCGTCAAGCGCATCTTCAGCACGGGGAATGTGGGTACCAATGTATATGTACACTTGTTACACCTATTTTTATAATGACTTTCACAGATTGAACTGCAGTTGGTGCGTGCCTTTGAACGTCATCCGGATGGAGAACACTTTGTGCCCTATGTGCGTCCACCGGTTAGCGAGGGTTCGGGTAAAAAGCGCCTGACTTATGCCACTCTGAGGCTGTACATGGCGAAAATTATCTTTGAAATGGCACCAAAAGAGCAGGCAGGGAATGGAGTGTTACTCACTTGGACACCGGATGTTTTGCCCCGCAGCCATTTCGGGCTGATGCAAGTGGAATTCGTTGTGGAAACACAAGCGCCCAGCTAAGAGGTAAGTGTTATTTGTTGCAATTTGATGTGTTCTTTATTTCGACGCTTCTTTATCCTTGTCTATCATTAGCTTCATAATTTTTCATTTTCTCATTGGCTTACGCTTAGCTTAGGTGTACCATACATATACATATATTCATATATATATATATACCATTATTTTGTTTTTATAAGCTGGGGAGATAGTCCCTAGCACTATCTTTTGTGTGTCTTTAAAATCTATGGTCTGCCTCTTGGGTACTATTCATCTTGATCTAGGTTTATGCTTAGCTCTAAAATCGTGGGCATGCTTTACTTCTTACTTGTGTAATGTTTCGCTACATTTCAGCTCTCTCTCATTTATCGAATCTTTTCATTAATATTTATTTCCTTTTGTTTCTGTTTTTAAATGGTTTATACTCTTAACTTTGACATTCATCACATTTATAAATTGCATATAACACCATCAATTAGATAATCTGTTGTTTTATCGTTTCGATTTTTACTTTAGTTAAATGTGTGAAGGTAGTTTAGTCGCGGAAAGGTTTCCTCGTTTGCTCGAAAAGTGTCTGCTGTGCTTGCTTTTAATTTAATTTGTAGAACTCCTGATTACTCGTAATTTTCTGTTGATTAAGCTTCGTCATTTGGCTGCGACATTATGTACATAATGTGTGTATATAGAAATATCCATCTATAGTTTGCTATTTATGTGTTTTCGCTTTCGCTTTCGTTTTTGCAACAGTTAAAATGCATAGTTACTCCAATATTTGGTATCGAAATAATATGATTCTCTGGTTCGTTATATTACAGATGAAGCATTGGTTGTCAGTATGAGAATTTACAAGCCTGCTAGAGCGTATATATAAGTATTACCTTAGCCTAAGTCGGGTTTTAGTGCCTAAGAAACATAAATCTCAGAAAAAATTGGTCATTAGTTGGTTGGTTAATATGTAGAGCCGCCAATTTTGGCTGGTAACAGCTGACAAATGCTTGGATTGGAAATGCACTCTCGCATTGATAAGATCAGGATCGAAGGGATAGAAACCCATCAACTGTGCATCAACCAGTAGTAGTCTCTGACTACATTCGATTGGGATAAATCTAAGAGGAAACTGAAGGACCTTTTGTTGACATTTCGTTTCGTTCATTTACATAATCAGTATACCATGATTATTCAAGTTAAAGTGTACAAAAAACCAGTCTTTAAAACATGTTTCTTTATCGTTTCTTTCATACGCTTATCTCTTCATTTTTCATTCTACATATAAAATGTAAAAATATTTACTAATTCACTTGCTCTCTATGCTTGGCCTGTGTGTGGTGCCTGCCTGGTTTTAAACTCCATTTAATTGGTTTTTCAAATCGAATAGATTTATAACTCCCACACACAGGCCTTCAGCTATGGCAATTCAGAGTGCGAAGCTTTAATATTTAATATTTATCCCACATATGAGGCTATCTTTAAGAACTGTACAGGTTACGATTACGCCCAGCGAATGTGCTAACACCCCGTGTGCATCGAATAAAGGGAAAAACAAAACAAAACTGGAGTCGAGTTATGCATTCGGGGGCTCTCTATTTTCTTTTTTATGTCCCTTTTTTCACATGTATCGTTATTTATATTTATATATATTTATAGTAATACTTTTTGCTTCGTTTTATTTTAGTTTTACATTAACTTATCGCTCTAGGGTTTATTTTACAATATTATTTCTTAGCTTTTGCAGGAAGAGGAGTATACCTAGGATCCAGTTCAGTTGCCTGGACCAAGTTTTCTATTTACAAAATTTATTCCGTGATGTTTTCTCGTGCTCTTGGTGCATCTTTTTTACTTTTGGGATTTACAGTGATGTGTGTGTGGGTGTGGTGTGTGCTCGGTGTTAAGTGCTTTTTTGCTAATTCGGATTATTTTTGCCAATAAGTCGCTTTCTTGTTTTAAATTCGCCTTTCAATTTTTCAACTTGAGTTTCTCTCTTTTTTGAACAGAAAACATGAACTTGAAAGATAACAGATTCTAGGACGGACACTGAATCAATTCGAAATGCAAAGAGTTAACTCGATAAATTCAACTAATAATTATTACTTTAATAGGAGCTTGCTTTGTGGGTAGCTTAAGAAATCATGGCACAAGTGTGTGTTGTGCAGCATTAACCTGCATTAACGAATCATTACTTTATATATTTATATATTTTATATAGACAAATGTCTGCTGTTTTGTTTAATTCTACTCTCGTTCGATTTGTGCATTTTGCTACGTTACCATTTGTTTCAATTTGTGATTAAGTTTTCGCACTTTCCTTGCATCAGAAACTATTTTCGATTGACTTTTTTTCCCCTCTGACTAAATAGGTTGTAAAAAATATTTATATTATAAACTTAAGATATATGTATAAAAATGACAGCAAAAACGAAATAATTTAGATAGTACATACAGAGAACAACTGAGCGTAATAAATTAAAGTTAAAACATGAGCTTGCTACGCGGCGAATGAATAATAAGTTATGGGTTGTTCTCTTCACTTAAACGACTTAAACGTTAATAAATACATCGCTATATATACGTAATCGTATGGTTTTAAATTTAATTTTAAATTTAAATATTTATATTTAAACATTTATAAAATGATTTAAATTTTTTCTCTCTGTAAATTTATCTTTAGTTTAGCCTACAATATCTAAGTTTTGAGCATCTGTCGCTGCTGCATTTGTGGTTGTGACGTTATTAATATTGTTGTTGTCAATATTATTGTTGTTGACCATCGTTGCGGTTGTTGGTGACGATGGTGACGTTGGTGTGGTTGTTGGTGAGATTTCCAATGCGGTTGTTGGTGTGGCAATCGTTGGATTCATCAGCAATTCACCCACGTTGTTGTGTTGATGATGCGTGTTGTATTGTTGTTGAAGTTGCGTTTGTTGTTGTATCCGGGCCAGCATTTGTTGTTGTTGATGTTGCAATTGTTGTTGTTCGAAATTGAGTTCGAGTTCCATGAGTTTAGCAGCATTGACATTAGTAACAGTATGGAAATTGGCATTAGTATGGGTTAAACTGTTTGGGGAGGCGAGTGGTGAAGGTGTTGTTGTTGATGTTGTTGTTGTTGTAGTAGTGATTGGAATTGTTGGTGTTGTTGTGGCCGTATTCGAAGCTGCTGTTGGAGTTGCGGGTGAGGGCAGTTCAATGATGGTCTGTGGGGATGATGGTGATGTTGGTGGTGGTGTGGATGAGTTGGACAGCGGGACAACTGCGGGCGGTAACAATGACAGAATGGGCGATAGGCTTGGATTAGTATCGGGCGGTGTATCATGGAGTGTGGTCAGGTTGAGCTGCTGCTGCTGCTGCTGTAGCTGTAGCTGCTGCTGCTGCATCCCCAGCTGCTGCTGCAGTATGACATGCTGTGGAACATTACCATTGCTGCATATTTTGCTATAGAGATCCGGCGTGGCCGTTGTCACATCCTCGAATTCAGTCCGAAGCGCCGTGCGCTTCAGCAGGTTCAAATTGCCAGGCAAAAATGAAAGTATGTTGTAAATGACGCGTATATCCTCGCTGGAGGTCCACACCCCGGGCCTCTTGTTATGGTACAGCTTTGCGTATTGGTAGATATTCGCCGTGCTGCAGTATTCCATCTCGATGGCCAGCGATGAGATCGCACAGAAGGTGCACGCCTGAGCGCCACCGTATCTTAAAAGAAAAAATGTTTTAATAAGAAAAGGTTCATAGAATATCTAAAATAATATACAGGATAACATAAAGTAAAAGGCAGCTTGTTCTTTTGGGTTTCTCTCACCTGTCAACAATGACGATTGGTCCATTTCGATAGTCATTGCAGCGCTCGTGCACATCGACTATGAAATCGTAGATGCTGTTCGGATTCGACATCTCCGGCCAGCTGGGACAGTGCAGCATCTTGACTGTCAGCTCGTAGTCATCCTGTATCGACTGGATGACAAAGTCCCGGCTCACATAGTCGCTCTTGTTTATCTTGTTCAGATACTTGACGCGATAGTGGTCGCTCTCGATGGGCGTGGCCTCATCCGGCCAAAACTGGGCAAAGTTCTAATGAAAACAAGTATATTATTAAAAAGTATTCAAGGGACAATAGATCCTTTTATACTCACAATATCGTCGAGCGATGAGAGCAGCACGACAGTCTGTGCATTATGGTCCCAGACCATTTGCCAGAAGTCCTTTATCGTGTGCGCCATCGGATGCTGGGTGACTATGAAGTCCCTCAATCTCCTGAAGCCGTGCAGCCAGGAGGCGTTGATATAGTCACTGCCATCCTCGCCCGGCTTCGGGGTCAAATGCACTCGACTGCCCTCAATGGGGAAGATGGCCCCGCGATTCTTGATCGAGTTCACCTGCTTCATGGCCGATGCAATGTGAATGTCCTTCGGCTGGAATTGGATGATGTTCTTGTACTGTTGCTCCAAGTACGGTGTACAGTTCTTCAGCTCCTCCACCTGCTCGGCGAGCAGATTTGTCTCCCTGGATGCGATGGCCTCCACCAAGGCGTCGTGCAGGAATATGTACTGCTCCTCGGTCTGGACGAGGAAGTTCCTCTGCGCTCGAATGTGACGCAAAAAGCCAAAGACATTCACAATCGATTTCTGCTGAATCTGCTTAAGCATAGCATCTAGGACAATGTAGGTTCCAGTGCGACCAACGCCAGCGCTAAAAATATTAGGATATATGGTATTTAATAATAGAAATATAAATATGTAATTGTTAAATATTCACCTGCAGTGCACGACAATGGGACCAGCCTCAGGGGGATTGGCAGCCGATGATTTCTTGACAAAGTTGAGAACAGGCAGGGGATGATCCGGTGTGCCATGATCGGGCCAGTTGGTATAATGATATTGATACACCAGTTTCTCCGTATTGCATTGCTTCTTCTTCTTGAGCTTTAAAGATTAAATCAAATGTTAATTGGGAAATTTAACACAATTTATTCACTTTGTAATACATACCTTCAAGTGCTTGATCTGCAGAGTGCGAACCGTGTAGGTGGACATGACTTCCTCCTCGATGAGCTTGACCTGGATTACTCCATAGGTCTCCACACCATCCTTGGGCCAGTACATGTCGCATTTGCGTCTGCCGCGTTCCACCAGATTGGTGATCATCACAATGATGGCCACCCTCTGCTCCCAGATCATGCGCCAGAAGCAATCGAAGGTATCGGGCAGAGGACCTTGGGTGCCAATGAAGGCGTGTCCCTTTTGGTAACCGTCAATAAAGTTGGCATTGATGTAGTCCAGGTTCTTCTTTTGGCCAGGTGTCGGATGCAAATGCACACGGCTGTGATCGTCTGCAAATAGTTAATTAAATTAATTAATTTAATGGAAGTTATAATCAAAAATTCTATACTCACAGGCTGTAATGTTCAGATAGCGATTCTTGCGCTTATTCTCCGGATGCTGCGAGTGCTCACAGGGCAGATCATCGCTAATGCATTCATTCTGTATCGCCTCGTATTCCCTGCTAAATCCAATATCTCCATCGGCATGCAAAGAAGCCACATGTTTGGCGAATTCATTTACGGGAACTGCGGCACGGATTTCATCGCCAATCTTTACAGGATTTTCCCAATCCACCTGCGGGGCATTGGGATGATGCGGTGGATCGTCCAGGTAGTAGTAGGCCGCATGGAAGCACTTTCTGCTGAAAGGAGTTAAAAGAATGGGTCCAGTGTTAATTAGTTTTGTGGTTTTAACTTTGTAAATCTACATCACTAGCGGCCTTTCACGATTTCTTTGACAAGGTTTCGCTATTCTTTATAAAAAGAGAACTTTGTTTATAAGTTTCACTTTGTACACAATCCCATTCGGTGTCATAGTGGTAACTAGAGCAGAAGTCTCACTGACCACCGACTAGGTCCTATTTTTTCTTACAAAAGCTACTTGCAGAAAAAGGTGTAAAGGTGCAAATTCTATATCTTAGAGAACAGAGACGAGCAGAATACAGTTTTTCTTTGCAAAAAGTTCAGAAACTACGAGGAATTATGAAGCAGCTGCAATCATTCTAAACAAAATCAAAATGCATAAATAAGCAGGTGGCACAGAAAGCTACAGAAATTGTTCTATATATATATTTTGAAATATAAAGAGCTAAAAGAGGAAGTGGTCTTTGTGGGTTTGCTTGGCATTCACCTGCAGCCAGGCATAAGGAAGTAATTTTGCTGGACAGGTCCTGGCCCAAAGTCTGGGCAAATATTTGCACAAAGCTGATTTAAATGAGTGACAATAATGACAAAGGTGCTGGGCATTACAGAACCATCCCCCTTTCTTAGTACAAATTGAGGTTAAGTTTGTGTAATTGGCTTAAGCAATTACAAGGAGCTCCAACTTTTGCGCCCAAGTTTTGCCTACAAGTGAACTCTCGAACAGCCCAGAACTTGGCAAGTTTTGAGCAAACTTTTAACACTCGCCGGTTGTTGCCTTTATTGCAGGATTTCTGAAAGGATTTCGAGGCAAGTTCCAGTGCGGGGAAATAGGATAAATCGAATGGTTTAGTCCTGTGACAAGTTCTACAATTTATAAAATATCTAAACGATATATCACGCGTTTCACCATTCTTAAGGATCTTTTAAGGACCTTCTGCTTGCTTAACAAATTATTTAAGATGGAATATTTTTTCTCTTAAGATAACTATTATCTTTTTTATAGTTCTTCAAGCATTAGTTAAAGATAAGCTATCTGAATGAGATGTCTCGTTATCCAAGGCCACTCCCCATTGTCCATAAAACTTCAAGTTCCAAGTATTGATAAGTTAATTTCCCAATGTTTACTTTTCTTTTTTAATGTATAAATTGAAGCTGATATCTATCTGTCGTTGTAAGCAATTCCGTGGAATAATTCAAAGATGTTTCATTGTTTACTCTACGAAGTTTCGCAGAAGCATAAACAAAAGTAGCTCTGTGGCAATCGGAACTTTCATAATTGTTTCAATACACATATTTCTTATCACAACGGGAGACAGAGGAGGATTCAGCTCTGGACACAAGAGTGGAAAAAATAACAAATAAATAGAAAATGCGAAATTCCTTCTCATGGCTGCGATGTATGCACATATATTTACATATGTTTTTCTTTGATTCCCACTCCCACTCCCCCTCTCATCATCTCACTACTGTTGTTGTTTACCAGCAACTTTTGCTTTTGCTTTTTTAGCGGCTCTCTATTACGCACCAAAAAAATGTGTTTATTTATTTATTTTTATGTCGACTTCCGCTTGAGGTGGTTATTCATTAAGCGGTGTATTTTGTTTATGTTTAATGGGACAATATTTATAAAATTTCGAACAAGTTATCAAAGCTCAGAGCATGGTGGAAAAGTTTGCCCAAGTCATTAATATGGTATTGCATACTTTATGGGGGCGGAGAAAATGGAAAATAAAATCTCCCTGAAAAGTCAATATTGGAATTGTCCCTAAGAGTACAAGAATTTAGCTTTTTAAATTAAAAAATCAAGAAATATAAGTAATTTAACTAACAACCTAGAGTTTTGGTGTCTAGAAATATATTATTGTCCTCTTGTAGAGGTATTTTCCTGGGAGTATTGAAATAAAATTTTCCTAGTCTGAGTCTCTCTGTTAAATTATTTGCACATTTTTCAAAAGATTTTAATTCCAAGGGATTTGTTTTGTTATTTTCTTCACCAAAACTCCAATTCTCCAAAGAACTGGAATCACTTTTCATGTCAAGATAATTCCTTGCATACTTTTAGCCTTCTTTGCTTAAAGATTTTAATTCGAAGTGATTTCTCCTTTTCCCTTTCTTTTGAGAATTTACTTAATTTATTATTCATTCACTTCATTTAAAGTGCACCGCATTTCTTTTAGTGTATATATTATAATTATGACTTTTTTGTTTGTGTTTGGGCAAACACGTGAGAATTACGCCAAGTGACCCACTTTATGATGACGATTTTCCCGGGGGTGCAGCTGCGAAAAACTTACGTAAACCAATTTCCACGTTGCGATTTACGGCGCAACAACCTTGGTGCCGCCGATGTTGCATTTGTTGCTGCTGCTGCTGCTGGCAGCATGGGACTGCCGCTGCTGCTTTTCCGCTTTTCCTTGCAACCTGACATAATGTCGTAGCTATGCTTAGAATTGCATTGCCTTCTTTTTTTTTGTTTTGATTTTTGTTTTTCCGCTTACATATGTTTCCCTAACACAAATTGCACAAATTACGTCATATTGGCGGTGCAGTGTCGCCAAAAAATATATATAATAATTGCACAGACACCGCGAGGTTGTGACGTTATAAACAAACGCGGCGACAAAAAAAAATATAATAAAAACGCATAAAACAATATGCCAGCAGCTGGTGTTGTCTCCTCTCGCCGCTTATCTTTGTCTTAATTAAACGTATTTTCCCCGCGTGTGTGTTTTATTGATAAGATTTTGTATTTATTGCTGTTTTATATTGTTTGCTCTCGACGGCGCAGAAAAATGTGTGTAATTTTTGCCGTGCTTATAGACGCGCGTGCTTGGAACAAATGAACTCTTGTCAATTAGCGATCGGCGCATTGCCAGAGCTTTTTCTCTCGCTTTTCTCTCACTTTTCTGCCTGATCTTTGGCCCCCCAAAAGAGTTTGACAAGTTGAGAGCGATAAAAAAACAAGGGGGATACGAAAAGAGCGAGCTTTGGAGCTTTTTCAAATCAGCTGTTTGATAACAACACTCACGTCGAGTGTACTTTGAGGTGCAATAAAAAAGCTAGTTTTTGCATTGGTTTTTTTCTATACGAACAGTAAATATTGGCTAAGAACCTTGGGTTATTCTTATATAATATTATTTAATTAAAAAAATAATTAAAAGTCTTTGAAGTAAAGAAAATGACATTATTATTAAAATCTTAATAATACAAATTGATTTAAAAAGAGAAAATAGGAATGAAATATTATCTGATAGTTTTAAAAATATAGATCTTTAACCTCTTAATGATACACAATATTTATAAAGAGTTAGGAAAATGTTGAAGATTTAAAAATAGTTTAATAGTCATAAAAATACCGTTTTTATATGGTTTAAAATATGTAAAAATCCGACTTATTTTATTTAATTTTCAAGTATGTTCATTAACCGAATAAATACTGTGATTATTCCAGCTAAAATACTATATAATCCTGATGTCAGCTATTATCCAAACACGACTTTGATTTAACCTTTGTTTTGTATATTATATTACAAACTTTTCAAATGCATTCTAGGAGGTAGAGATCTCCCAAGATTGCCTAATGAACTTTACAAATCATTTGCGACTGTTGCTCATCAATTAATCAATTAAGAAACGCAGCCTTATATAGAGATATAGAGTCAATATATAAATAGATTTGTTAATCGTTTAATTGCGGCAGATAAGCACTTCCGCAATAAAAGTTGCATTGCCTAATTTAAGAAATTTGCCCTTCGGAAAGAAGATAATGTTTGGTATTTGTAACATTGGATAAAGTTGATAAACTCCCTCGAAGAGAAAAGGGATGATAATGGGAAATGGAACTTTTTCGGCAAAAGTTATCAATACACACATACTGACAATTTCTTGGTTGGCTTTTCTATTTCTGGCAAAAGGGAAAAGTTTCACAGGAAAACCCAGACATATATATGAACTGGCAAAATAAAGCCATCGTCGTCGTCGACACAAAAACAATGTTCTCAAACTGCATCAGATATGAGAAAACTAACAACAAACACACAGAGAATCCCAGAGAGAAAAAGGGGGAAAAAGTTGTCGTATGTTTTTGCTATTTCGGTGTCGGAATGCAAATGGAAAATATTTTAGGAGATGAATCAATACGAAAAATGATGACGTTTAGATACTCTGCAGGGAATATATTGAGTTGATGTAACAATAAATTATATTTTTCAATAAAATCTTTAGCTGAAATTTTAAAATTGGAACTGTAGAAGGTACATTTGTTTTTGTAGAATATTTTAAAATATATTTACAATAGCTTTTTCTATTCTAATATATTAAAAAGTAACTAAATTAATAGGCTTAATTATGTATCATGGTCTTAATAGAGCTTTAGAAATGTTTGAGTTATGAATCGCTCAAAACTTGTTTTAAAATTGATTAAAAAGGCATTGGTTACTTTTTTCTGATTTCTGATGTTCTTTAAGAGTTAATTTCTGATGTTCTTTAAAAATATCATCAAGGTTTTATCTTCTTTTTCAATTAGTAACAACTTTTTAAATAATAAATCCTTTTCTTCCATAACCATTACCCTTTTTTCTAACAAGTATAAAAACGTTGAAAGTGTAACCAAGAATGATGGCTATCATTGCAGAGCAAATTGTTGCCATAACGAACTGCTAAAGTATTTCCACTTGGCGTTGTACAAGCCTGTCGTGGTCGGGTTTTTCCAGAGTGTGTAACCCGCAGGACTTATTGAAAGAGAGAGGTCCTGGAGTCCTGCTGCTGCTGCTCCCTCCCCAGGAGTTTCAGGACCCCATTCAGGCCTCCAGTGGCTGCCACTAAACGTTGATTAGTGCACTGTAAATGCAAATGTAAATGATGATTTCGCCCAAGAGCCGCCGCGAATTGAGTTCTGCAAGATTTTTTATTTTCTCACCAAACCCTTTTTCCATCTCGCATTTCCCTGACTTTTGTTCTGGGGGTTTTCCACCCACTGCACCCACTCTTTACTTTTTCCCATTTCCCATTTCCCATTTATTTTTTTTTGTATTATTTGTTTGCATTGAAAAGGAAATTGTAGAAAATTCGCCTTTGTTTGCTTAATAAAATATATAATTTTTTCCGCTCTAAAACTTGGGTAACTTGAAGAATGGGATGGCAACAGCACCACACCCAGTGGCCGCGGGTATTTGTAAAAAATAAATAAAAATGGCATTAATTTGTTAGGCAACCCGAGAAGGGGCAGGAAAAAAAGGAAAAATTAAGGGGTAACTTTCATTTGGCATATTCGCGGCAGCATGAAAAATCGCTTCGACAGAAGAAAATATGCAAAAATTCTTTTCCATTGAAGTCCTTGTGGGTGGGTGGGAAAAACGCTTTTCATTTGCCTTGCACACACACACACACACACATTTTTTGTCGTCGGGAAAATGCTGGGGGAAAATGCTTCGCCGGCTTCTGCTTGGGCTCTGGGCAAATGGGTTAACCACTTTTACATTTAATAAAGATTTTAAGTAACTTAAAATTGTTTTGCTTGTCTTTGTCTTTGGCTTCGCTCCGGACTCTTGCTTCTTTTTCTTTTTTCTTGCGATTTGAATTTTAATTAACATTTCCGAGAGAATATGAGTATCTGTTTTTCTCGCATTTTCCGGGCAGGAGTGGAGGAGTGAAAACGGTCGAGTTATTTCCTTAATTATGGATTGGTTTGAAAGGGACACTGGGGAAAGGATTAATTATTTCAGCATTGGAATCCCTTTTGCTGTATTTATATTTGCTTTCTGTCTTTTTTTATTCGCTTTCCAGTGATGTTTGTGTTAATTAATATTAGCGTGGAAATCACTGGGAAACAGGGAGAGCATGACGAATGCTAATTGGATAAGTATTCCATGAAATGATGTTATTAATGCTTCACAGATAATTTAAATGATAATTGTTTTGTATTTAAAAAATGGGAAAACTCCATTAAGATATATAGTTAAAAGAGGAAAGGTTTTAATTGAGAATTTAATGTTTTTGGCGGAAAGTTGAAAATTCTAAATGTATTTCCTTTATAACGAACAGACATGTGTCTAAGTTTAAATTTATAATTTTACGCCTGCTAAATACTAGTGTTAAATAGATCGTGAAGAGCTTTAATTATAATTTAATGCCTCACAAAAAGCTTTAACTAATTCACATTATTTGAAAATGAAACGTTTTAAGGCCTCCAGTAAAGGCCTCTCAGTTTCTGGTTCGCTTGGGAAATTCGACATACTTCAGCGCCTTAAGTTTATAATTTAAAAATAGCAATTTTCTATAGCTGCAGCTACGCGACTTGTGTATTTATTTTTAAATTCAAATCGAAGGAGTGGGAGGACAGCGCTTTGCACTCAACACTTTGACAACACAACAGTCTCACTCTGCTCCCCAGTTTTATTTATGGAACTGCACGCGACTGTCTGAGGAAAAGCAGCTGCCTTAGCTGCACTTGTTTCCTCCTTTATTTATTTATTTATAGCTTATATAGATAGATAGATATATGTGTGTATATAGACATAGAGCGCCACTTACCTCCACAGGAAGAAGGCCATGATGATCAGGATGATGCCAAAGCAGCTGAAGATAATGCCCACCAAAACGGCCAGATTGTAGTCATTATGCGATTGGCGCAGCAAAGGTTGCAGTTTCTCGCAGTTTGGTTGCAATTGTATCTAAATTGGGAAAATAGGGTTTGAGTTATATTTAGGAAAAATATTTTTAAAATTCTTAATAATAATTTAAGTACAAATTTAATGATGATATTTCGAATGTGCGTTATGCAACCGATATCATAATAAAGGAATAATAACTATAAATGCATATCTAACGAAAAAATCCTATGTGATACATCAACTCATTTCGAAAATATCGTAAACTGTGAACATATTGAAATTTTTTAATATAGAAAAATACCACATTGATATCACATCATTAAAGAATCGCGGGTATAAAAAATATCCGAAAAATAACCAATTTAAAAATAATACTACATGGCAACTTTATAATATCGATTTGTATATCGAATTTCATGTTCGATATATCGATAGTTTTGGCATTGCTAGTATAATTTCCTTTTTTTAAATCAAGTAAGTAGCTAGGAAAACGCTTTTAAAATAGTATATATCAAATTTATGGAAAACCTAACTTTTTTTGCTCAAGGAAATTGTAATAAATTTCTGTATATTTTGTTTTCCTGTAACACATGTATGTATGTTAAGTGTGTGTGTGAGTTTACTCCTGTGTTATCATTATATTCGAGCATTATTTTAGTTGATTTTTCTCCCCCACTTCCCCATTGTTTGTTTTTCGCGCACTCCTCTCCATATTTGCTTTTGTTTATTTCCACTTTTTGCATACGATTCCCGTGATTCTGACACACAAAAAGGACTCAAAAAAAAATAAAAAATTAAAGAAAGGATTTAAATGAGCGCCATTTTTCGCTAAAGGGGAGGGGGTGGACGCGATGTGCGGTAAGCGGAAAATGGCAGCGGGCCATGTAAATGCGGCCAAAAGGTGCAGGCCACTTGAAATTCAGGCGGACCAACAACAACAATTGCGATGAATTATGAATGAAGGGGGGTTTTTCCGAGCCTGGGGGTGGGGGCGAGGGGGGTGGAGAAGAGGCCACAAAAAATATTGCTGCATACTTATAAGGGCGTGTCGCTGCGGTTCCTTCATCCGCAATCCCCAAACTCTGGAGTTGAGGTCAACTAAATTGCTATATTTTTGCCACAACTTTCGGATTATACATATTTTATGCATGCAACAAAGTTTGCGGTGAGTGTGTGTGTGTGGGGAGAGTGTGCTGTGTGTGTATGAAATGTCATTAAGGATGTTGTTGTGACAGGTTGAAAGGAGTTGCTGTGCGGTCTTAAATGTCAATAAACGAACGCAGGTACATTAAAAGAAAAGGATTAATATTTGTTATTGATAAATAATTATTTTAATTATCTTATTTTAAAAGTATTGCTATTTTTTCGTAGAATTTTATGTTTTAACAGATTTGACAGGGGGTTGGTTTCCTTTCAAAATAAGATTTCTATTAAACTTTAACGTTTTTCCATATTATTTAGAGCTTGAAAAGTGTATGACATAATAAAAACTCATGAAAATATAACATAAATTCCCATAACTCTTGTTTAATAAATGTAATAATTATTTCTCTCTCTGCATAAGTACAATGACTGGGGCGTGGCCAGTCATTGTTGTTTCGTAGACTTCCATTAAGTGCGCATAAGCCCCTCATTACGCATACGCCCCGAGGTCCAAGTGGTTCATGACTCAATAATGCATAGAAGGAGATATACGAAAGGGTGAAGGAGCATAAAAAGGACAAAGATATTCTGTTGTTGCAAGAAAACAGGATTGAATTTTTCCAACTAAATACATTTTTGGTGTAAAATCTCCTTTTCGGACATGTAATCTGATATGGAAACTGACAACGCCGAGGCTGCCAAGTTTATGGCATGCCACGCCTCTCCTTACTCTATATCTCTGCCTTGCATTTTTATACCCTTGCAGGGTATTATAATTTCAGTCAGAAGTTTGCAACGCAGTGAAGGAGGCACCTCCGACTATATAAAGTATATATATTCTTGATCAGGATCAACAGCCGAGTCGATCTAGCCATGTCCGTCTGTCCGTCTGTCCGTCTGTCCGTCTGTCCGTTTCTACGCAAACTAGTCTCTCAGTTTTGAAGCTATCTGAATGAAACTTTGCAGTTAGTCTTCTATATACTCTCACTCGTATATATGTCGGAACGGGCCGGATCGGACGACTATATCATATAGCTGTCATAGGAATGATCGGAAAAGTTTTACAAAAAAAATTATAAAATTTTTAGTTTTCAACAGAATTTGATCAAATTTGAAATATAGCCATTTCATATTATTCTAAAATTTTGTGTAAAATTTTATGAAAATCGGATTACTATATCATATAGCTCCCATAGGAACGATCGAGAAATTAATACAATTAAATTTATAACTTTTTTAGTTTTCAGCTGATTTTTATCAAATTTGAGGTATAGCCATTTTACATAAGTCTTAAATTTTGTGGCAAATTTCATAAAAATCAGACGACTATATCATATATGTGCCATACAAACGATCGTTTGATGTAGAGGAAAAATGCAAATCTGTGAATGTAAAACTGCAAATATAATTTGTATAGGTGAATGAAATAAAAGCAGGTATTGCTTCATTGTTTTTTAACACAAATATATATAATTTATATTGTATGGATTCCTATTCATAGAAGTTCTATCTGCAAGGGTATATAAACTTCGGCGTGCCGAAGTTAGCTTCCTTTCTTGTTCTTCTTATTTTCTTTTTTTTTTCAACATTACAAAACAAAATGCCAAGTTTTCCGCCATGTGGCAGGTGTTGGTTTGAGGTTGTGGGTGTGTACGTGTACGTGTGAGTTGCATTTGATATCTTTATGCGCTACTTACAATCCTTGACTCCGAGAATTTTCCCAGCACTATTCTCTTTGGGTTTATGACACTGAATGTGGCCGCTGCCACTTTGACCTCATAGTACGAGTTGGTGGTAAGATTTTGTAGAATCATCTGGAAAAATGCATAAATAAATAAAGGTTATTAGATTGATATTTTATGTTGGAATCGTTGTAGAAAATAATTTACCATAAAACTTAACTGAACGTTTAGATATTACATTTCAATCATTTATTTATCTCGACTCCATTAAGCCCTAACTTGATTTAGAGACAATTTATAAGCTTTAAATAAAATAAATAAATCCATTTTCTGTTGGTTCTCATTTAACTGTTGGCCAAATCCGTTTTTCCTCCAATTTTTTTGCATTCATATGTGTAAAAACAAAGGTGGAAATTATTGCCATTCCTGTTGTTTAGTTTGTTCAACGAAAAACCTTGTTTGCCGCTCACAAAAATATTTCAATTACAAAAATATTTTCCAAACTGACCGAAATAAAAGAACACGATGTCGAAGTTGAGGCGACACTGTAGAGGCAGAACCTGGCGTCCCAAAAAGAAGGATAGTTCCTGAAGGGAAAGCGGGGGAAAAAACAAGGGAAACCCACTAGGTTTTTCTTCTTCTTATTTTCCAGATATGGAAAAAGTCAGCTATGTGTATGATAACATTTTATTGTTGCGAAATTTGTTTGCCTCGCCGCATTCCCCACGACAAAACTTGTATTTTTTATAAATTTATTTACTCTTTTTCTGGGCGCTAAATAAAAAGGAAAGAGGAGCCCGAGTGCGGCACAAAGGCGGACAGGAAAAACAACATAAATTTAATTTATTTTCGCAGGTGGGTAAGCCCCATTCGTGCGGGTGCCCCTCATCCACAGGATCCCCCTCCGCGGTGGTTCCACCGGAAAAGTATGCAACACTTTTGGCCCTCGTGTGTGAATATCCTTTCTCTTTTTTTTTTCCTTTTTTTTTTGGGTATAGAAATTTTTTAGTAAAATATTTACAGCTTGGCTGTCGGGGAGTTTTTCTGTATGCCGTTTGTTGTTTGTTGCATAAAAATGCAATTATTACTGGCCCGGGTATTTTATTTATATATATATTTTTTTTTGTTGTTGAGCTCCTCCTCTGCATATCTGTATCTGTATTAGGCAGTTTATCATAGAACTTTTCGTTTTTTAATGGATACATGTAGGTGGCTCTGGCCAAATAGCCGCGATAAGCCGTCTCGATTGACATATCAGAGGGAGGACAACTCTATGTTGCCAACTTGGCAGGGCCATAAAAATGGTTGCTAACAACGCGGAAATATTTCTATATATATATTTCTGTATATTTGTTTATTTTTTGTTGGTAAACCTGCACTTAAATTATGACTGCCAGACTCCCAAAGGGTTTTAATAAGTGCAGATAGCTAGGGAAGTTTGTAAAAGTTCGTATGATATCGAAAATATCTTAAAATTTTATATACTCAGTTTTTAAATGTTGAAAAGTATCAAATTTAAAGTTTAAATATCTTTAAAAATTATTTGTAACTTGGCAAATTTAATTAAACTTCGATAATAAATTGCAACAAATAGATCGACTTACCGCCGTCTCTAGTTCCTTTGCCGAAGCATTTATCCTTATATCCCGATGCGTATCCTGTCCAGCCAGTCGTGTTTTGATCACATAAAAATCGATGGTGTTGTAGAATTCGTAGGGTCTTCGCCAGCGTATTGTGATGGACTCCTGGGAATGACAGGTGAGATTGACAATGGCAGGTGCACTGGGTCCTCCCACATCCGTTCGCTGGGCAATTTGATCGGAGGGTTCGCCCTCGTTTTTGGTGGTAAATGCCTTTACAATTACACGGTAATCGGTATAGGGTCCTGGAATTAAATATAGTAATTAAAAAATGGATTATAGATACACAAAAGAAGGATACAGACATAATTTCTATAAAAATGTACTATTTCCTTGTCATTTTTTCCAAACTGGTTACTCTGTCATTAATGTAAACCCTTAATATGTCCTTATTTCCACTTAAGAACCTCTCGGGTGTGACAGTTGACGCTTTTTATTGGTCGTAAATACTGCCAGCAGATGTCAGTTGCATATAGGTATATATATTTCTGAATATCGGCCCATCTTTCGCTGGCCATTATGAGCAACGTCACCGCAGGACAATGCAGGATGCAGAACACAGCCTGGCGGTTGCCCGTTCGGCTTTATAATTAAATTTTACTCAGCGAAAATGTAAAGGGGACAACAATAACGCTGAAACTGAATTGATTTTTTATGCCACGAAAAAAAAGAGAAGAAAACTTTGCCTCAAGCGAAGCTGTCAGCCTTAATTGTATTTAATTAACAAGAGGAACTGCTGACATCTACTTGGATTAAATTTGGATATAATTAAATGTTGCCATGGCGGTTGCTCCTTTTGGAATTTTCTGCAGGCGCCGAGGAAAGTGCACCTGAGTCGTGTAATTAAATTAAACAATGTGGGGGCGGGGGGCGCATGTGTGGGAATGCGGAATATGCGGCGCAGCATAACTTTGTTGCAACTTAATTGCATAGCTTCTTTCCCCGCAACCGCCGAAGAACTCCAGCGAGTGTAATGCCGCGAATTCCGCGAGATAGATGCTGTTTTGGCAGCCTAAGAACAGACACCATCGCACCACCGCCTTAATCAGCGAAATTAGCGGCGGTGTACTACGATTTTAAGCGTCAGGAACAACAAAAAAGTGGCAACAGCCACTTGAAACTATTTAATTACAAAGCAGCTTGGCAAACAATTTGACAGGAGCCTCAATTAGAGTTAATAATAGCTCTCGGCCCGGGGGTTCAAGGGTTTTCACTCGCCGTGGGCGTTTCTTTTTTGGGCCTGACAGTTTGATGTTCAAGTTGACAGAGGACCAAATCGTGTGGAAAACAGGAGGGGAATCCTTTGATCGAAATGACCGTTTCAAATTTATTTACCGTAGGCAGGCGGAAAGGTTGAATTAATTTGGAGCAAGGGTTGCCAGGATCCCAGGGCTCCTTAAGTAATACTTCTTTCTATCTCAGTTTCATTCTAAAAGTATTATGTAGTTTCAACTCACTTAAATTCTGCAGCTCAAAGTGTATTAGAGTCTCCGCTGAATTCCTTGAGTTCTTCACAATTTCCACGCCAGTTTGATTGTCATGAATGTGAAACACATGATAGCCGGCAATGGCTCCGTTCTGATTCTTGGGCGGATGCCAGGACATTGTGATGCTGTTGGCCGACACATCCAAGACGGTGAGATTCTGGGGTTTGCTTGGCACTGCAAATATAAGAATAATATAAATAAGTTGGGGATGAGTATCAAAAGTAAAAAGTTAAATTTGTTCTTGTACTTAGAGGTCTTGTTTCGTTGAAGACTTTTCGGCTTAAAACCTCCACCAAGTAATCCCCAAGGAGTTGAGCAAACAAGGAAGTGGGATTTATTTAGGAATCTTTAATACTTATTAGAATATATAATATTTGCTGTAAAATATTATATATTTTTGAACAGCGTTTTCTTATTTTATAATTTGTATTGTGAGTATTTAACATTTTCCATTTTATTCTTGTTGATTTTCCTAGAATTTTCTTACCGTAATATACCCTTTCTTTGAGTGTTTTATGCTTTCCAAAGTTAATTCCCAACTCTTCGAGTTTTTCAAGTCAAATGTATAACAATTTTATACCAAATCCCTTGTGCACTTAATACACACACACACACACACATCGCCGCCCGCCAAAGAATCCTGGAATTTGTAAATAAGAAATGTTTGCATACTTAGCGGCGTGTGCAAGCCGAATGACGCCAAATGACAATGCATAAATAATTTATTAAATAACAAAAAAAAAAAAAAGGAAAAGGAAATAACAACAGGGAGAAGAAGAAGAAGTAATCGCAAGTAAAATAAATTGAAATGAATATTTTGCAGAAGCAGATAAAACAATTTATATTCAAATGGCATGTGTGTGCGGGGTGTGTGTGCAGGATGTGTGTGTGTGGGGATAGGAGAAAAAAAATTATATATTCAATTACCGAGAGGGAGAAATGGAAAAGAATTGGCGCAAGTAAAGCGCAACGTAATCGAAGCGCATAAAGAAACGGAAATGCGATTGCTAGCAATTTATTATGGCCTGCACTGTACACACACACACACTAGAGGAGCTACACACACACACACAGAGACACCCACACACAGATGCTCTCTCCTCACTGATGGTGGCTTATAATCCAGCAAAACCAGCAGCGGATGCAAAAGCCCTGGCAATAATTTCATTTGCAAGCCAAAGGACAACACACTCGACCATGTGTGACAGCCAAAGGGGTTGCCTTAGACAGTGTGTGTGTTGTGTGTGTGTGTGTGTGCAAGTGGCAAAAAGCACTAAATGGTAATTTATTTTACTAATACAACAAAAGACCACCGCCCTGTCCCGACCCGGCCAAACGAGCAAAAAGCGTTTTGCAATCAAAAGAACAAATGAGTGACCCGAGGGCCGAGGCAACGGGCACTTGACCCCTCAACTCCCGACCGAAGACTTTTGCCATGCAAATGCGATAAAGCTTAACAAAACACACACATACTTGTATGCCTGAAAAAACACTGACAGAAATTATTTGAAATAATATATAAATTTAAAAAGTAAATATGTTGCACGCTCCGAAAAATATTTAAATTCCATGAAAAGCTTTCATTTACTTATGATTTAAAGTTTAACAGGGATTCCAAATCAATTTGGATAAAAATCATTTAAATAAGTTTTCAATAAGAAATTTCTATACCCTTGCCATTTTCAATTCAATTATTGGATCGTATTTAATCAATATTTTTAAAAGACCATTTTTTCGTAAAAATCAAATTTTAAAAATTTCATAACTTTGCTAAAAATGCATAAATTTGAATTCGGCTTTCCCATGCTATTTTTTATAAGGTTAAAAAATCTGCATACCGAATTTAAAATTTCAAAAAATTAAATTTTCTGAGAATTTTTAAAAATTTTACAGATGTAAAATTAGTGATTAAAAAATGAGAAAAAATTTGTCATTTTATTTTTATCCCGGATACAGCTAGTTCGATTCAGCTTTTGATTCTGATTAAGAATATATATGATTTATAGGGTGGGAAATGACTCCTTACAGAGTTACAAGCTTCTGACTGAAAATATAATACCATTCTTTGAGCCAATATTTATCTATGGTTTATATGAAAATTTGTTCTACAAATCAAAGCTTAAAAATCGTATAACTAAGCCAATAATGCATTAATTTCAAATCGGAAAGCTGTCCTATGTTAGTTTTATTAAGGTTAATAAATCTGCATACCAAATTTGAAGTTTAAAAAACTTAAATTTTTTGATAATTTTTAAAAATTTGACAGATCTAAAATTAGTGATAAAAAAATGTGAAAAAAAATGTTTAATATTTATTTTCTGCCAAAGATGGCTAGATCGATTGGGCTTTTGATGCTGATCAAAAATATATATGCAATATGGGGTCGGAAATGACTCCCTCAATGGGTTATTAGCTTTTGACTGAAATTATAATACCCAGCAATAGTATAATTTTCACCCAAGTTTTCTCCCTGTGTATACAAGTAAGAAAAGGAGGCAACCCACACATGAACACTTGGCTGAACAGAATAAACAGTCCTCTGTGAATGTATAGAAATTTATACAATTCAATAAATGGCATTTCTACTTTCTTTGCCTCTTTCTCCGCTCTCTCTTTCACTGGCACTCCTTTTCCCTGCTACTCCTACTTCGGTGTCTTCTTGTACTTCATCCTTGGCCTGGGCTCTGAGCAGACTCTTTGCAATTGCAAACGGAAATGGAAATGGGAAATGGACAGGCAGCTGCTGCTGCATCTGCGGAAAAAAGGAAAGCAGAGAAAATGGGAATGGGAAAGGGAAAAGGAAAGAAAAGGCCAATTTATAGACTCGAACTCGAACTATGAAAGCGAACAACTCACTCGAGAGGAGCAAGGGCCGCGACGGTGTAGTTGTATTAAAATCAATTAAGCAACAAAGTGCTCCACACACACACACACACACACACACAACGATAAATGTCCTTTCAGGCGAATATAGGAAAAGGAGTGGGAGAAAAGTTAATAGGTTTGCCACTCGCAGAAGACAGGTGAGGAGGTGAGGAGCAGATGTGCGGGAAAAGCCCTTCACTAAATACCGGTGATTGGTTTTTGTTTGCCAAATATTACATAAATAATTGAGAATGAAATGAGAGCCGGAATCAATCAGCCGCAGAATGATTGACAAGATGAAAATAAAACTAGTTTAGGTGGGAAAAGTTAATAAAGAAAAGGCAATCTTGAAGAAATAATTAATTCATTTATTATTTTAATGCAATGCAAGTTTGGGAAATGAAAAGATTTGCAAAATAAATTAATCAATTCTAAATTGTCTTAAAATTTACTTAAATTGCTTTGATGAAATAACAATTAAACGCAAAATAGAATTACCCATAAAATGTATAAAAATTGATTATAAATATTTATTGCAACAGGTTTACTAATCGATTTATTTAAATAAAAGCCCACATAGTAATTTATAATTAAATTTAAATAACAAATGGAGTTATAAACCAATAAATTGAGTCTCATGGAAGACATTCAGGAAGCTATGCCAGCTTTTCCAACCCTTTTCTTTTGCCGTCTCAACATTTGACAAGTCCTGGGCCAAATTAAAAGAAAACAATAGATACGTTCTGTTTTTTGTTTTCTTATTTTTGCACCCACTATTTGCTCAGGCTCAGGCGCCGGAAGTAACCAAGTGTGAAAAAGCAAAGGAAAATCCGCAAAGCCTGGGAAAACTAAGAGGGGAGAACACTCAAAGCGCGCGCGTGATTATTTTCACAAAGGCAAAGGCAGGAAGTAGAAAAAAATATAGATGTAACTAGGAAACACACATACTCCTTCGCGGAAAGTCGAGGGTGGGGAAAATCTGGTGTAAAAAAAGAGTAGAGCCTTGGAAAAACCAATACCGACGACGACGTGCTTAAGTTGTTAAAAACTGCAAACAAAAGGCGGCAGCTTAAGGATCCTTCAGAGGGGCGGCAAGGTGTGTGTGTGTGTGTGTGTGTGAGTTAGTGTGTGTAGAGCAAATAGCATTAAGTTGTCTAAGCCTCGAAAAAAATATATATAAAACAACAAACCGCTTGAAAAATACACTCAAAAACTAGAAAGGGTTTTTCTGTAAGCGTTACTTTCATATTTTTATCTGAATATTTATATTAAAATATTTTTTAAAGCATTCAAAATATGTCTTAGAGTTTTTTATTCTCATAAATATAGTTTAAAATAGATCATATCACCAAGAAATATTTAAGATCACAACTAACCTTGCTTAAAATACATGAATTGAAGGAATAAAAATAAAATTTGTTCTCTCTGTCCTTAAATAATAATAAAAATAAATAAAAAACTAGAAGGACCGTCTGTGAGCTATTGTTGTTCCCGCTCTGTGCCTTATTTAGTTGTTGCTCTTCGTACTTTATTGTTGTTGCTTAACTTTACGAGCTGCTTTACGTATTTCGTCCAGACGTAAAAACTAAACAAAAGCAGGGAAAACACGGAAAGACAGAGATATGCACACAAACAAACAATTAGAGAATACACACTCACACACTCACACACTCATTCACAAAAAAAGGTAAAAAACCCAGGTGACTGCCTTTCAAAAGGCGTCAAAGGCTCCACAAAGGCACAAAAATTATGCGAAATAAAGACCGAAAAAAAGAGAGCAAAAAAAAAAAAACAGCAACGACAACAAGCTGTGAAAAAAACAGGGAAAAAAAAAAGAAAAACGCTGCAAAGTTTTGTCCCCCGAAAGCTTTGATGGCCAAGAGCAAACACTGAATGGACCAAAAGGCTCCGCCATCACTTAGCGGAAGTAACGCGGCAGCCATTTTGAATGCACACACATGAGCAGCAGAGTCTGCGTGCGTGTGTGTGTGTGTGTGTCGAACCTTTTTGAACTTTGATCCCTGAAGGAAAAAGGGTCTTTAAAAATCAAGTTGAATTAATAAAGAATTTATTTGGAGTTTATATTAAGAGAAAAGGAATTTAAAAATAAATATTTTCTTTGATATTCTTACTTCGTATTTCTTGAATAAAACACCAAGAACATTAAATTCAATTTAAATGGCTTATAATTTACTTTAATCGCTTAGACATTTTGATTAAAGCAATGTCATTGCCATAAATGGCATATCTTTGGACTAGTATATGCCTCTTGGCCCTATTTAAACACAAAGCTTTACTGTCAAATGCAC